ATTGCATCTTGTATGTATTTTGGGTATCACAACGTGGATGATCAGTATGTATTCATTATTAGATTATGAATTTGATTTTGTTTTTAAGGTTTGGGTTGGTATCACAATGGTATCACAGTGATACCACAATGGGTATCACATTGTGTATCACAATGATTACTTGGTACTGGTCGGAATAATGTTCATCGGAGGTTGGAGATCCGAGGTCGGAGAGAGGTAAGATGAGAGAGGAGTTTTTAGAAATACCTAAAATGCCCTCTAATTATAATTTTAACTCAAATTACCAAAATTACTAATTTCCTAATTTATTCGTTGATATGTGGTTGAGATTGGATCTCACAGTTACCACAAAACTAATCAGTTCTCCTTTGAATGGGCCCCCTATATATGTACTAATACTATATTATAAAATATTTGACAGAAACTCTTAAAAACCATTTTCTATATATATATATGATGTACTCTTTATTGATGCATGTTATAAAAAAGAACTATGTTTTATTTTTTAGTCTATCTATACGAGGAGGTCATATGAAAATTGTAACCGATCCTTTCGTTTCCTTGGGCCACTGGCCATCTGACAAGTTAAAATTCAAGATTACAAGTGAATTGTGCGTATGTACAGTTTATTAAATTTCATGTTTGAATTCATATAACTAATTGCAAGTAAACATAATCAAATACAAGATAAACATCTTATTTTAAATATTAAAAATCTAAAATATAATTAGGATAATCATTGAGCTCTAACATAAAACTTAGTTGTTATTTTTATAAAAAAAATATATTATTAAACCAAAAATAAATTACTTCGTTATCAACCCTAAATTAAACTATAACACAAAAATTAAATTAAAAGAATTACACCCAAAAAAACCCGAGAACTTTTAAACAGTTAATTTGATATTAATATCAATATATTTTTTCAAATATTTATAATATCTTCAAATTTACATTTTATTCAAAAATAAAAACATTATTGTTTTCCTAAAACTACATAAAACTATATTATAACATCGACAAAGACAGATACTAAAACCAAAAATTAAAAACGAGATGTATCCCGTTCTATTATGCGAGTACCTTTCTAGTAGTATATATATAGATGTCTATGTGAATCAGTGTATTGAACACTAACAAATGGACAAATTAAGTTTATATAGATAAATTAAGTTCATAGAAAACTATAAGCAAAAGAAAACTCATGCATTGATAATTTGATATCAAATTAAGGGGTCGTTTACCAAACAATTACCCGGGAAGCACTTACCGGTAAAATTTACCATCACTTACTTATCGGGTAAGATTTTAATCCACTCAAACGGTACCGTATGCAACAATTTACCCGGTAAGCGCTAACCATGATAAGAGTTGTTGCCCTCAATTATCCGGTAAGGCTCTTGGTCCTTGTCTCGCTCTTACCGAATAAGATTTTTGGTCTTTACCATATTCATCCGGTTAAGTAATGTGACTTAGTAAGCGCTTACCCAAGTAAGGGTTTGGTAAACAGCCCTTAAATAGAGTTTACAAAGATGGTATCAAAAGATCTAACAAAAATAATGTTTTACTAATGGCGTAATCCATACATCTCTAATCTAAAAATTTAATACCATATACCAAAAACATGTTAGACTCGATTAGGTTGTATGCATCTTATAAAGAAATTGTCATCGAGAAACGAAAGAAGACTTCCATCTCCAAGTTTAACTCAGACGTAACTCCCTTCTTTTTGGGTGTGAAGCGGTGTCAAACCAAAATACCCAACAAACATTAGCTCTCCCTGAAAAGTTGGTGATCCAGCCGCACCTTCCAGTACGGCTACCTTGTTACGACTTCACTCCAGTCACTAGCCCTGCGATATGTAATCTTCATCGTTATTTTTCGTCATTGAAATTGAATTCAAAATCTTCCTCGCCTTCAACTTGTGGTTGTTTCCCGCTTTCGGTGAATAATTATAATCATTAATATTTGATTTAGTAAGCCATAAAACTATATAAAAAGTAAAAATAAAAATAAAAATGATTCACGCCTTCAGTATAACCCGTCGTAGCATGTCATGCTACAAGCCACGCCTTAGAGTCGCGCCACGGGCTTTAATGTGGTGACAAACCCAAGCTTCGACGTCATGGTCGCCATAACCCGTTTTTTAAAACCTTGTGCATAACACGTGTTGTTATGTTATCTGAGGTTTGATCGGTCTATGATGCCCCCTTTCTAATTTTGTGTTGTGATGAGGAGGGGCAAATGTAACGGGAAATGAGGGGTCAGCTAGCCCTTATCAATTTAAAAATATTATTATTATTATATACACGTTTCGTTTTGATTCAAGTAGAATTTTATATTATATTTATTAAGCTTCAAATCATTACTACAATTTATAGACCAACCACCAGTGATGAGAACCAACCATGGTATGACACGTGTTTTTTTTTCAAAAGACGTATGGTTCAACCATAACATCAAGGAGCTTTGTTTGTTATCAGTTGCGCGATGTAGTGTCATACGTGCCACAAATTTTTGATACACCTTAATTGGTTTGTTCAAACAAACAGTATAGTCATGATTATCGGACATTGAAACAGTCAGTTGCTCTCCTTTTTATAATAACAGAAACCAAGACGAAAAATTGACCATCTTTAATACTGATTACGGGGTTGTTTTTTTCTTTTTCAAGTAAGCCATGCAAGGATTAAGTCGTTAGTTTGGTAAAACTCGTGTGTTTGGTTAAAGATCAGTAATCCTTTGTTTAACGTATTGAATGCACTATACAATTAACATAAACTACCATTTTATTCCTCGTATGATAGTAAATGAATGGAAATGATTGTGTGATAACCGTTTTGAATGTATAAATACAATACATGAATAATTTATATGAAAAACGTATGATATAATATAACGATATACATTAAATGACACTGTGATTAGTAACTTAAATTATCATTAAACATGACATCATGTAGGATTTATCTGTTATAAAAACATGGTATGATATTCAGACGGTACAGTCAAAGTTAACACGGCTGAACACGTAATTGAATTATATATGTGTTTTATAAACATTATAAAACAACACGTAATTCAATTTAATACGTAGTTTAATAAAAATATTTCTGTATTAATTAAAAGTAAGTTAAACCTAAAAACATCGTTTTCGCTATTAATGCGAATGATCCATGCATCGGCATGCACATACAATAAATATGTACCAACTTGCATAATGATGCTGAACCCTGCAAATAATCAAACAAGCCGGTAAGGGAGGTGTGAACATGAATTCAAAAGTACATGATAAATCTGATTGCTACTTGTATTTTTCTCTGTGTTTCATCATCTAGGTGAAGGAGATTTGTTAGATTTGATGGGTACTGTATTTAGAGCGTATTAATATTGTTTTGATTATATTGGATTTGATAAAATATCTTGCATAAAGACTGTATATATTTTGGTGACAGATCTTTAAATTATTACGTCACCTTTTGCATGAACATAATATATATATATATATATATATAGAGAGAGAGAGAGAGAGAGAGAGCAGCAATCAAATACAAACCACCCAATTTGTACAAACCGTGCAAACCACTTTCATCCGTCGATTTCATTGTTTAATATTATGAAATTTTTCATGAAATTGTTTAATCATGTAAAATTGTTTCATGTAATATTTTTGTATGAAGTTGTTTCATATATGGTTATGAAATTGTTTCGTATAATACTTAATGAAATTTTAATGAAATTGTTTCGTGTATTTCTCTAAAATTAAAATAATGAAGACGATAATATCCATGATTAACACCCTTCATAATAAAAATGATTAATCAACCTCTCATAATTACAAAAAAAAAATTCCCGAACAAAATGAAAAAATATGATTGATTGAATGAGATTTGTACAAATAACGTGGTTTGCAAAGTAAACCTTCTCTCTATATATATACACACACACAAAACACACATTTTGATTACATTTTTATTAGGAAATAATTATAATCAAAAGTTTAATATAATTTAGGGTAAAATAAACTCTTTTTTTTATATTCAAATTGTTCATCGAACACAACATACATACAATAATTTAGGAAAGTAATCGAATAACCTCAAATCATATCGGGTTATTGATTAATTATTAAGTCGTAAACAAACAACTTTATATGGTTGAACGACAAGCATTTTTTCTTATAATCTTTATTTTAATAAGAACGGGGTACTCGTCTGATAACAAGAACATGACTTCTAAGATAAACGAAAAAGTTATCAATACCATTATAAATATTGACGTAATATACAATCGAGCGAAAATCACAAGACGTGACATTTTCTTTGCAACTTTTGTTGTAAGAAAACATTCGACACTCCTCGTTCAAGCTGCTTAACACTAAACCAACTATAATAAAACATCCATAAACCAGATTGGAGTTGATTATGTAAACTAATACCCTTCCGAACTTTGGTTATGCTTGAAATCAAGTGAATTTATACACACATACTGTGAATTTAGTGTATAGGGTTGAGTTCGTGTGAGAATGAACGCTATAGTGAGAATGATAAAACTGGATATCCACCATTTAATCAATCATAATTGAAGATCGACAACAATGCAGTACATCGAGATGCACCGGATCAGTTTCCGCGATAAATACAATTCATATGAGAATGAGATTAAAAGTGATCAAGACTCCAAAATTCTTTTTACGTTTCTAACTGTAACTTCCATCTTCACACGATAATTCAATTTAGGCGGTGTTTGAGATTGCTTATAAAAATAACTTATTGACTTATTCTGGTGTGACACCGATAATAAACACTTTTGAGTGTTTGGATGAACAACTTATACTGGTGCTAAACTGGTAATAAAGAGTTTTTGAAGAAGTTAAATCTTTCTTACTTATAATAAATTGATAAATACTTTTGTAGAAAAATATAATTTGTTTTAAATAAGCAATCATATACACACCCATAATATATATAGAGAGAGAGAGAGATAAATTTATGATTTTTGAAGACCTAAAGAAGAAAGAAAATGAAAAATAGAAAATAAAAAAAAAGGCAGGCTTGAGCTGTTCAAGCCGACTTCAACCTCATTATTCCAATAACACCCATCATCTAAACCCATGTTGCACCCCCATCGTGCGACGCAAACCATGGGCAAAACGGTAATTTGGTGTAGAGCCAACCCATTTCCGATCATAACACTGGGGGAGGCGCTGCCATGGCTTCGGATGAACCTTCGATTTTCTTGAGACCCGAACTCAAGAACACATCTTATTATTATTAGAATCTTTCAAAAAGGAAAAAGAAAAGGAATAGGCAAGGTAAATCCCCAAATTTGCAAAAATAACCTAACCGTAATTTTCCAAAAAGTCGATTCAGCTTCGTATAAACCCTCACAGGACGAATTTTACGCGCGATTCGCAGTTATAGCTAAAGGTATTTGTGTGTTCGATCTTCTTTTTGATTCATTAATTTTCTTTTTAACGATTTAGCTTGTGGGTTTTCAAAGATTCTGCTTAATTGATGCTTGTAAGTCGTATTTTTTGCGTCGATTGGGATTCTAGGGTTTCAATAGGCAGAGATTTGTGGGGATTAGGTGTATGCAACTGTTTAATTATTTTGCATGTATTTAATCTTTGACTACTGAGCTAAATTCGAGATCAAAAGTTTGTATTGTGTTCTGCTTGGATGTACTGACTAGCTTGTTATTTTGTTTTTAATTAATTAAGTAATTTAATCTTTTATTGTGTGTTTGAGCAATATACCGGGTTTGATTTGGCTTTGGAGGAATATCTACTGGAAATCTATTGATCAGCTTAGGTTAAGATGATATAGATACAGGAAGCATGAATATAAAGTTGTTAATTTTGATTTGCTAATGATTGAGTTCATTAGTTCCTGTCATTTGAACTAAAAGTTAACGAGTGGGAGAGCTACGCGTGTGGTGTCTCCGATGCTGGAGGCATCAAGATTTGGTTTTCTAACTGCCATTGGCAATCCATCAAGATCCCCTGATCCTTTTGAACAGTTATCAAGATACTGGGAGGTATTCTGTATAGTGCTTATGATATAAAAACATTCATATGTATCTTTTGCGTGTGTGCTTATGAATCTTTGCTTAATGGAACATAATTTTTGACATGCCAAAGGGTTATCTACTGGCTGTTTTCTATTTAAAGTTTTCAGAGGGTTTTAAGTATGATTACGTGTTGCATGCTGGAAAATTATAGTCTGGGAAGTTAATAATGTGAAACTTCATGTAACCAAAGTGAACCGACATAATTGGATTTTTTTGTTCCAAAGTTTGGATTGTTTTTAACTCTTTAACGAGCTCTGGCATACCAAGTTGCAGGATACGAGACATTAAACATTTAATTAGATCTATAATCATAAATAATTACAACAGGAGGTAAGGTGTTTACAGGACTTTAGGTGTGAGAAAACTAGTGATAATCCCACTCACACCTGTCTTTAAAGGTGAAGTATGATTCCGTTACGTAGGAGTCTTCATATTCTTTTGGTGCAACAGGGGGGGGTCTATGTGTTTTGATGGTTGTCGACTGGTGATTAATAGATTATGTCCCTCACTCTCGTACCAGATTTGCTACACTACACCCACCATGAACTCCCAACTGATTCGTGCTTATCCTTTTTGGGATGCATTCTTGAATCATTATTAGGTGAATCTCATGAAACATTGTTTGCTAAATTACAAGATACGGATAGATGTACAGGCCTCAAATGTTCAAAGAACCAAGAAGAGATAGAGATCATGTTTATGAGATGCACTTTTTGTCTTTCTAAGTTGTGTCAAGCCGCTTCGTGTCAGTTCGTCAAACTTTCTATTCTTCTCAATGAACTACTATGATTTTCTGATGGTAGTCGACATAAATATATACGGGGTTGGCATTGAGTTGAATGTTGTCGTTTCTTTTCTTTCTATAATTTTCTTCCCAGTTTATGGATTTTACTTTTTCATCCCAAGAACACTTGTACTGCTTGTTCACTAATCTAAAATTCTTAAATTGGTAATAGTTGTCTCCCATAGTTTTGTGGCTGACTCCAATAGTTAGAATCTTGTATTTTAATCACTTATATATATATATATATATATATATATACATGTTCATCTATAGCATTGGTAGTTCGTATCTAGATTCAAAGCTTTGATTTTTGCCAATTGCAAGAACCCAGTCTAAAAGGGAATTACTTCAATTTATCTTCTATTTTATTTGAATTATTGATGCAAATCTGATGGACTGTACGATATTTGTGATTGTTAGGTTTTATCTTTCTTTGCTGCCAGGAGATTTGGGCTTCACTTCCATGTGCTGTGACACTACAGTCTTGTCATGCACAACTGTGTTCACAAGTCTTGTAACACAGAGACTGTTTATGAATTGATGCAATGGCATCATCTGGTAAATTTGACTTATCATCTGTTAGCCCGGATAGGCCATTGTATAATTCTGCACAGCGTGGGTCCTATACAGCTGCTTCACTGGATAGATCATCCAGTTTCCGTGAGAACATGGAAAATCCAATCTTGTCATCCCTTCCAAGCATGTCAAGAAGTACCTCAACCGTGACACAAGTGGATGTGACTAACTTTTTACACTGCTTGCGATTTGATCCCAAGTTAATGGCTGCCGAGCATAAGTTCAACCGACATGGGGATTTTAAGCGACTTGCTAGTGCTGTCCTTGGTTCACCAGATGCGTCACCATCTGGTTCATCGAAAGGCAAACTACCTTCTTCCTCTCCTGAGGATCTGAAACGATTAAAAGCTGGTCTGCGTGAATCCACCATCAAAGCCAGGTACCCTTTTTGTTTATCTTTGTTATACTTCTGGGATTGCAGATTATGGTTTGTAATTTTTCTATTATCCATTAGGGAACGGGTGAAGGTCTTCAGCGAGACCTTGTCGGTGATCAACAAGTGTTTCCCAAGTATTCCTTCGAGGAAGAGATCAAGGCCAGATGCTTTGCCTGGTGATCGTTCAAGTGGCTTACTCCTGAATCGTGCACCTACTGGGCCAGGTGTTGGTAAGATGGGTACCCAAAGTCATTCCCTCACAAGTGCATTTGACTTTGAGCCACAGAAGGTTGAAGAAAGGGGTAAAAATGCCATTCCTAACAAACGAACCAGAACTTCAATGGTGGATCAAAGGGTTTGTATCTCGAACAAACTGTTCTTTCTTACGGTTTCACTCTGTGTTCTATTCAAATTTTTGGTTTTCCTGCAAATCCTCATTTTGTAATTTTGACTAATATAGGCGGAGGTTCGCCCTAACACTCCTGCTAGATCAGCTGGAAATGTAGACAGGGATAAAGAAGTGTTAAGACTTCCGAATAGTAATGCTCTTCAGGGTGACGATCGTGCATTACCCATTGTAGCTGATGGTTGGGAAAAGGCAAAGATGAAGAAAAAGCGTACTGGAATAAAGGTTGATGCTGCTCCTAGTCCAAGCTCAGTGTCTACAAAAGCTATTGATGGGTATAGGGAACCCAAACAAGGAATGCATCCACGGCATCTTCCTGATGCCATGTCAAGGTTAAATGATTCCCATGGGTTCAGGTATCAATTTTAATACCTACAAGTCCTACAACATTTTGTTTCATTCTTTGTGCTTGTTTTTGTTTTTGGAGTTTATTTGGATGTCTTTCTCAAGTACTTGTGTGCTACTATTTATGCAGTGTTTTTTGTTATAGCTGTTCCTGTGTCTGTTTTTGTTTGACTAGCTGCTCCTGGTAGTGGTAGAAAAGTTATTGTTATAGCGGGATCATCTACTTAACGTATATCACAATTCACATGTAAATCTTTCAAGTGAAAATCACTAACTTGACAATTGGGGTTGGTATGGATTGAGCTGCTAAAGGAGTTACGACTTTGTGCCAATTAGATTCTGTAAAAACTAAAATCTATGGTAACAACTTAATGACCAGTGTCTGATTGGTTTTATGAGCCGTTACAGAAGTTGTATTTATCATGGCTCCACATTCTATAGAAACTGAAATCTATGGTCAACTTAGTAAATAGTGAATCTCAGTAGAATGCTCTGTTGTAGCTTGGATCAAAAGAGACTGGTATTAATACTTCACGTCTGTGTGTTTTTCTTGTTGCTGGAGCAGAAGATACTGCAGCACTAGAGTTCTGCTTAAAGTGGCCTCTAGTGATCTTATAGAGTTCACCCTAATTTTTTTAGTGTATAAGCTTGCAAATCTTTATGCTTTAAGTATCCCCTTCGATAGAAGCCTTGCCTGAAGATATGTGTAGATATGACTCGTAAGAGCTTAATTCATTTCATTATCTTTGTCAATTGAAGGTGGTTCTGCCAATTCTAGAAGTTGCTTTATGGGCCAGATATTTGTGAAATTGAAGTTCTTGTTCTTATTTTGGCCAACATTTTGACACTTGTATATTGCTCATGTAGTTTATTCATGTGGTATCTTGACATTTATTATAGAATTCCAGTGTAGTTACTGGGTCCTGAGAAATTGTTTTAGAAGAAACCAAGCATTTTTATAGATACCAAAAACATGTCAGTATTTTCACAGCATGTTCCTATGAGTGATGGAATGCTTAGTCTTAGTAGTGAGGTTCTTTGTTTGACAGTGTTGCAATGAACCTGAGATGATGTTGCCTGTATATCATTTCTTTATGAGGCTATTTTGGTGCATTATGACTCTGCATTATACATCAATTACCCTTTTCTGTTGTGATGAATCGGAGTGGTAACATTTTAGTTATTATTATTTTTAATCTCGGTGATATATATGTAAGTGTCTCTATTTCTCTTTCTTTATGCATATTCCCTTTTGTCCATAAACTGAACTTCTGCTTTTGTGTTTATGTGGGATTAATTAATCTGCTAGAGTGCAATTCCCCTAAAAATGCTATACACCCATGTTATATATATTTTTATTCATCCGAGGGTCAATCTCATGAATATCTTGATGTAGGCCAGGAGCTGCTAATGGAGTAGTTGGAGGTGGAAAAGCTGATGGTTCTTCTCAGCAGGCAAGTGTGGGAATACGCTCTTCAATACCAAGGCCAGAGCAGGAGAATACATCCCTTCTCCATGATAAAAGAGATAGAAGTACTAGTTCTGAGAAGGAAAGGACGAATCTCAGATCTATTAACAAGTATGGCACACCTTTCTACTATGAGTCGTACTTGGATCATATTTCATGTTTTTTGCCTTGATTTTGTGCATGGTTTTGTTTCGGTTTTTTATCATGTTTGAATACTCATTTCTGCTATCAATGCTTCTTTCACATTTTAGGTTTTTATTCAATATGTTAAATCATCTAGTTTTTATAGTCTTTCCTTTATGACAACCAGATCCAATGTCCGAGAAGAATTCATATCAGGTAGTCCTACCTCTAGCACAAAAATGCACGCGACTGCTCGAGGTCCAAGATCAGGGTCAAATATTGTTCCTAAATCATCAACGGTAGTTCAACGAGCAACTGCTTCGAGTGATTGGGAGCTGACTCACGGTACAAACAAGAACCCTGGAGCTTTTGGCTCTAGTAATCGTAAGCGAACTCCTTCAACACGGTCTTCATCTCCACCAGTAGCACAGTGGGCCGATCGGAGACCCCAGAAGATATCACGTACAGCAAGGAGAACCAATCTTGTTCCTATTTTATCTAATAACGATGAAGTCCCTGCTTTGGATACTAGTGATGTTACTGGTAGTGAAAGTGGAGCTGGGTTTGGCAAACGATTTCCAGCCAATTCTCCTTCTCAGTTCAAATCAAAAGGCGATCATTTCCCATCATCTACATTATCGGAAAGTGAAGAGTCGGGGGCTGCTGAAATCAGATCTAGGGATAAAGGAAAGAAGTCTGATGAAGTGGAAGAGAAAGCTGAACCGAATGTTCAAAAGATGTCAACTTTAGTCCTGCCAACAAGAAAGAATAAGATGGTGAATGGGGAAGACATGACAGATGGAGTTCGTAGACAAGGCAGAACGGGGCGAGGCTATGGTTCTGCACGGGCTGTTACGCCAATGACAGTTGACAAGATTCGCAACCCTGGAACTGCAAAACAACTTAGAACTGCCAGACTTGGTTTCGACAAGTCTGAAAGGTTGTACATCCTCAATTTTCGAGATAAAAGATAAATTCTTTTTAGTAGCCGTTTCCTATATGTTGCTTATTTCTTTGTTATTGAAATTCGTATCGCATGGAATTTCCACAGCAAATCAGGCCGCCCTCCCACTAGGAAGCTATCTGACCGCAAAGCTTATACACGTCAAAAGCATACTGCAATCAATGCAGCAGAGTATCTTGGTATATCATACGTCCTATATATACTCAAATTTGCTATATGACCATATAATTTCTAAACTTTTTTGTTCTTTTTCATTTCTCTTAGTTGCTTCTGGTGATGGACATGAAGAGCTTTTGGCTGCAGCTAATGCAGTTATTAATCCCAGTACAGTTCTAAGTCGTCTTCTCGTAAATTTTATGCTTGAATACTAATATTCGGTAATTCTAATTGCTGGATTGGTGATTGCAGATCATGCTTTGTCGAGTCCATTCTGGAGGCAGATGGAACCACTTTTTCGGTTTGTATCTGACATGGACATGTCCTATTTAAAGCAACAGGTGTCGGTTCTTTCTTAAAAGATAACATTAGATGTTGAAAATGCAAATTTTAATTTTTTTATGACTCTTATACAGGGTAGCATTCAGTCTACTATTACGACCAATAACCCAGTACATCTACGCTTAGATAGTTCTGGTACACTTCCTAATGGAACAGACAGCAGAAGTATTGAACCAAGTCCGGAACGTTTTGCACCAGAAACTGCAAGTCCCGGAGAAATTCCCCTCTGTCAGAGGCTCCTTGCAGCTCTAATTTCCGAAGAAGGAAATGACGAGCTTCCGTTAAGCGGGAGTGATGCCCACAAGTTTAATGTTTATGGATCTGGATTCGAGTTTGAGACTGATGTAGAATCCAATGCCTTCAATCATCGGTCATTGAAGAACTTCGAACTTGGTGGACATGGTACTTTCGGCGGTCATAGGATAAATTCCGCACTGAGATCGTGTAACGAGCCGATGCATAGCCCATCAAATAATCATATTATGTCCGTGCCGGATTCAACAATTTCTACGGGTTTTGATCATTCCTATAATGGTCTACTTTCAGATCCAGCAATGATGTCTGGCATTACCATTTCTGAATATCAGTATGGTAACATGTCAATAAATGAAAGACTTCTCATAGAGATTCAGAGTATTGGACTCTATCCAGAACTAGTGGTATGTTTTCTTCCCCCTTTACATGTGTTCTTTTGTTTTCAAGTATATAATATTTTACGAGGGAGGTTTAGGGGAACCCCCCCCCCCCCCACCAAAATGAAAAACGAGGAACACCTTGGTAACCATTCATCTAGAATGTATGCACATGTGCATACAAGTAATTGTAGCTGTTTCTTGGGTTTTATGCACGTGTGCATACCGGAAAAATTGCTTACAAATTATTTGTATGCACATGTGCATAGCGTCCAGATGAACAGTTACCAGGGTGTTCCTTAGTTTTTTTTAATTTTTTTGCGGGTTTACCCTGAACTTGACCCTAATATTTATATTTGGCAAAAATTCACGCACCCTTCTCAATTTTGGTGAGGATTGAACCCTAATCTCCTGGGAGGCTGGGCTCTTCTGGTAACCCGGGTACCGCTGGGCTAGTGACTCTTTGGTTACATGTGTTCTTTATCTCTCTCTAATGGAAATTTAGATTGAAGTCCCCAAAACATACTGTTTGCCACCTCAAAGTTCTTCTTGCACTATTATAAGATAGATGAGCTTATTATAAGTTGGGAAGCTTTCAAGTATTCTACTTAACACAAACACTTTCTTGTCCAGCCTGATTTACCATGTAATGGAAATGAAGATATCGGTGGAGAACTTAGCAGACTTGAAGAAAAGCACCATGAACAGGTATGAATCTTTTGCAACTCAAAATTTGGAAAAAGTTCCCTTTTTTTGGGTCTCACTTGATCAATAATGTACAATTTTGTAATCAGAGCAGTACTGTAGCAAGTTATTGTTTACCATATATATATATATATATATATATATATCTGTTACTCTGTATTTTATAAACATGAACAACTATTGTCCCGTTTTTTCTAACAATGTAGTTGATTAGCAGGTTTCCAGGAAGAAAAGCCTGCTCGACAACCTTTTAAAGTCCACTAATGAAGCAAGAGAGCGTCAAGAGAAGTAAGAATTTCCTTTAATCCACCATTTTTCGTCTCTGTGGTTTTAGCTCGGCTGCCTTTGGATGAGGAATCTAATATGACGACTTGTGTGTTTGTAGGGAATTCGAACAACTTTGTCTTGACAAACTCACTTCAATGGCTTTTCAAAAGTACATGGTAATGGTTTTTAATTTCCATCTTCTCCTCACCATCTGCTTAATTCTAGATGCATATACCCATGAAGGGTAACAGAAGTGAGGTGCTTCTTGTGTGTGTCCTTAAGACATTTCCTGCTCCCTTTTATGTGGCATCTTTAATTAACATCCTTTAGTTAGAGCCTGTTTGTTAACAGCTTACTGGGACTCACGACTTATTCGGCCAGCTATACATGACTGTTTGGTAGTGGCTTAATGATACAGAAAGTAGCTTATTCAGTAAGTTTCTAGGGGAGAGCTTTTTGCAGAAAGCCAAGTCTTTTCCTTACCTGCCCCTCTCAATTAAGAAGTACGCTGCTTCCATCTATGAAAAAGTTCTCCTACACAAATACCTTTTCAATCTATAAAAACAGATTAATCCACACAGACAACTTTATCCATACAGGAGTTGATGCAAAACCAATGAAACAGGCCCTTAGTCTATAACCTTACATTTCTTTTTAAGTAGTTATCAAAAGTCAAAATGGTGGATTTTTCTAATTTTCTGTAAGGTCCTCTTCAGATCACTTCAGGGGGCTGAATGAATTTCAAGGATATTGTCATTTACTCATTTGTGCTAAATAAAGAGCTAGATCTATGCCTTCTAAATTTACAGTAGCTAAATCGGTCTTCTAATTTTTAGTAGACATCAATTAGTTTATTAACTTTGTTCCTCAAAAAGTCTACGGTGAACACTAACCTCTCGTCATTCAAATTCTTGCATTCACACTCTTATTGAAATACCAAAATTGTGATGTTGATCATGCTTTTCGTTCAATTAATGTTCATTAGAGTTGCTGGGGTCCTCATGCACCCGGTGGTAAAAGTGTTGGTGGCAAAATGGCCAAGCAAGCTGCTTTAGCTTTTATGCAACAGACACTGGATCGATGCCATGAATTTGGAACAACAGGCAAAAGCTGCTTCGCCGAGCCCTTATATCGGGAAATGCTCCGCTCTGGATCTTCACACTTAAACGATGCACAAATAGATGTCGCAACCGATGGTGAATTTGGTAAAGTCTATGGGAACTCCATAGAAAGAGTTTCAGGTATGCAATTTTAATTCGAGTTTGGGTACCTTGTGTATTTTCTTTTATCGGCTGGTATTAACAATAGTATTTAGTAAATCTCGTCTGTGGTGTTCTTTTGTTTGTGCACATGGTGATTGTGGCTTTTTCTTAATGGTAAATTAGGTGCACAACTGAGCCCTTCGTTAAACAACCATGACATATATTCGTCTGATGCATTCCACTCATCTGAGCAAACTTTCGGAAAAGCCGATATATGGTCAAGCAGGGTAAAAAATAGAGAGTTGTATCTCGATGATGTCGTTGCCGGTACTTCTTCAGGAGCACCCTCAGGCATTGGAACAACAATTTTGAATAGTGCAAAGGGAAAGAGGAGTGATAGGGACAGAGAAGGCAAGGGGAACGGCCGGGAGGTCTTATCCAGAAATGGAGCTCCTAAAATTGGGCGGCCGGCATCTGGTAATGTTAAGGGTGAAAGAAAAGCTAAAACGAAACTGAAGCAGAAAACGACTCAGTTATCTGCTTCTCTCAATGGCCCTATCGGCAAGATTTCAGATCAACATAGACCAACAATGCCTTCAGTTCCGAAACCAGTCGAGATGAAAAATAACATCATCAAAGAGAAGGATGACTACAAGTTATTGGAGAACTCCGAGGAGCCACTCGATTTTTCCCACCTGCAAATTCCTGAAATGGACGTTCTTGGTGATGATCTTGGTGAGCAAGGGCAGGACATAGGTTCATGGTTGAACATCGATGAAGAAATATTACAAGATGATGATTTTATGGGCCTCGAGATTCCAATGGACGATCTGTCAGATTTGAATATGATGGTCTGACGTTGATTATGTTGTATAGACATGTTCAGTATACCAACTTACAGATGAAACATAACGGCTGGTGTCGAGAAATCGAACATGGATGGATGTTCAAATGACGTTCCCGCCCTTGATTGGATACAAATTCTTTTCGGAACCCCTGAAAAGCTTTGGATGGTATGGATTTTGCTGTTATTTAATATAGGGACTTAGTTTGTAAAAATCTTTTTTGTTCCAAGTATAAGCTAGTTCATTCCGCTCACTATATCTTAGGAAACACAGAGTTCTCGTTTGTAGCATTTAAAGATCAGGGGACAATGCCCCTTGTACATACGAATTATGTTCTCAATAAGATCAGTTCATTCATATCATACTCTACTCCACCGTTTCATATGGGCATATGTTTGTCAGTGTATATATATGGGTATCATCTTTTTATTCTTGTTTTTTCTCTGCCTTCGAGTCTGTGTCTGTCCATCATCAGGTACGCCAGCAATTATTGGAAAGGGAACAATCTCTCTGTTGCCACTGCAATTTGAAGAACCATTTCAGAACGCAATGGGATCCTTTGCCAATTCATTTGTGAATACGGTTATCAGACTAACTATATTGTGTTGTTTTTATTCTATGTAGTTGTTTCCCCTGAACGATGTAATCTATGTTGCTGTTATTGCAGGTAAGCAATCATGGAGTTTTAGCTTGTGGCAATCAAGATTCTTCGAGCTGAGGTTTTTTAGTAGCATCTAGCTTCTTGCACAAATCTGGATTTCTTGCATTGTTTGAATTCTTGCAGCAGGATGACCGTCAATCATGGATTTGCATGTAGCGGACGATAAAGGGTACGTATCTTTTTCATTTATCAGATGCCAATGATCCATTTGACCCGAGACATGGTCAAATCCAAGTATTTTATTATGATTCAAATACCAAAAAGACCTTCAAATCATGTCACATGGATCGAATGAAAGAACTTGCTGCTTTTATTCTGCAGTTTCAAAAAAATGGGTGAAAGGCTTGGTGAAATAGACATGTCTGTGAAGATGCGGACTACCTGATAAGCTTCGCGGTCTGCGCCCAGGTGGTCTTCGTAACAGAAGAGACATTTGGGTTGCATTTATGTTGAGAAGGGGCAAGCATAGTGAAATGATGCTTTAGCTTCTCTAGAACAGGAGGTTTTTTTTGGATCATTAAATTTATCAATTTGATGAAATCCATGTACACTATTGACCTTGTGCTGATGGTTCTTCGTGAGTAAGGGGCCGTTTAACAAACGCTTACCCGGGTAAGCGCTTATCAAGTCAAATTACCTTACCGGATGAATATGACAAGGACCAAGAGTCTTACCCGGTAAGTGAGGACGACGACTCTTACCACGGTAAGCGCTTACCAGGTAAATTGTTGGGTACGATGTCATTTTGGTGAATTAAAATCTTTCCCGGTAAGGAAACGATAGTGTAAAATTTTACCGATAAACACTTACCCGAAACGGCCCCTAAGTTTTTCGAATTGATTTTGTTCATCATCTTTAGACCTCATTATCTTTCTTTCCAGTGTTTCGTTCTTGCATTATTCTCGGTTTTAACTTCTAACGAAGCTCGAATCTATTTGTAATGTATACAGCGTAGGACGTTTGATGGGGACAAACGGAGAACTCCAACTTGATTCATTCGGCAGCTGAAAGGAACATTTTTTCTTTCATCTTGCATACTTTCGTGCAACGGTACGCACTCGCTCTTTTCGCTGTGTAATTTTTTGTTGATTCTAGGCGTAAGGAACCTTAGCCGGATACATGGTGTTTGATTTTGGAGGACTCGGAGGAGGGGGGGCTACAGAACAAAGGGTAATTGAAATCGCAAAATCTTTCGGAAATGGGTGGTCACATACTAATTTCATGGCAAATCGCCTATGTTGTTCTTGAAGTAAATCTTTTAGCAACAACAAATCTATACGATATTATAAAGCATTTGACAAAAACTCTTAAAAACCATTTTTTATACATAAATTATAATAAAAAAATAAATTACATAAAAAATGAGAACTTTTAAATAGTTGATTTGATATTAACATTGATATATTTTTCTTCAAATTTTTATGATATCTTCAAATTTATATTTTATTTAAAAATAAAATTATTAATGTTTTCTTAAAACACATAAAATCTTATTATAACATTGATAAAGACAAATAATAAAATAGAAAATTAAAATCAAGATGTGTCTCGCTGTATTGTGCGAGTACTTTTCTGGTTAAAAAGAACATTTAAATACAATCCAATTATTGCCCGATTCAACAGTTTGGTCTGAAAGTCTTAATTGATTCGATCTAAGCCCGAAGATTTCAAGTTATAGCGATTTGGGGTTTTCTTAATATATCTATTATTTAAGTTGAAGATGTGACATTGATGTTTATTTTTATTCTGTCTCATGTCAATGTTATAATACGGTTTTATGTGGTTTTGAAAAAAACGGTAATAATTTTTTTTTAATAAATAAATTTGAAGACATCTTAGAATTTTTTTAAAAAAAATACATCGATATTAATATCAAATTAACTATTTAAAAGTTCTTGTTTTGTTATGTAATTTCTTTAATTCAGTTTTTTTTATTATAATTTAATTTAGGTTTAACAACAAAGTAATTTATTTTTGATTTAATAATATAATTTTTTATAAAAACAATAATTAAGTATTCTGTTAGAACACAATGATTATCCTAATTATGTTTTATATTTTTTATATTTAAAATGAAATATATATCCAGTATTTGATTATGTTTATCTGCATTCTGCAGTTAGTTACACGAATTCAAATATAAAACTTTAATAAGTTGTACTTATGCATTTTTTCTGTAATTTTGAATTTTAAGTAATATGCATCAATAAGTAATACTTTATGTATAAAAAATGATTTTTATAATATAGTATAGATGTAGGCTCTTGAACCGATTTTTGCATTGAATTATTATTTATAAAAAAATGTCAAGAAAAAATAAGCCGGAGAAGTATTGGAATTGTCAATTCCATTTTGCAAATCTCATTGTGTTTGGTTCAATATATGCATTTCAATACGGAATTCCAATTTCATATATATATATATATATATATATATGATGGAATTTAATTTTCTTGGGTTTAAGAAATTCAAATTTCAAATTTTCTGGCCTTTCAGAAAAAAGACCGTTATACCCTTATATTTACTTAATTTTATCTTATCATGACGATCGTCACCACCGGCACCGTCGTAACCGCTACGGACAATAGGAGACCTAACCAGTTTGTTTTTAACAAGATTTAAACTTATGTATAGAGTAATTATAAGTTGGCATTTCTGAAAATGGGACTGAATTTAGAAAAAGAAAAAGTTTTGGACCAAATATGCACATCGAATAATAGTTGAGGGGGAAATTTTGTAATTAATTTATTGTAATGCAACAAACACTAGGAATAATTTGCAATTAGTTTAAGTTTTATTGGGTTTTGTTTTTGATAAAGAGACAAGGCACCAAGAGAAAGAGAGAGTCAATGATGATATAAATGCTGAGAATTGAAGCGTTTGATACGTTCATCTTTGATTCAACAGCTTGACTCCTAATTTGGGTGATTTCTGAAGAACAATCACCAATCATCATCAGGTTTGATTTCATCTTCAAACAAATTGTTGTGTGGGTGTTTTTGATTCAGAATTGGCGTGTTACTTTTATTCTTTTCACTTGATTTTAGTTCTTGATGAATTCTCTCAACATCTCTGTGATCATCCGAACCGATTTCGATGTTATTTGAATTTGAATTGGCTTTGCTGACTTGGTTTACTGAAATCGTATGATTTCCGTTTTCCCCCCATTATTTTATGAATATTTGATGAATTTGTAATTTAACTGTGTTAATCGTGAACTTTGAACTTTTGATAGTTGGCCGACTTATGTTATGCAGTTTGGATCGAAAACACAATTTCTTCAGATAATTTGGATTAATTATGTGCCCTTTTGAAGGATGAAATTCATAAGCAGTATGTTCTTGCGATTAACATTAGATAAATACATATTATTAACGTTCGTAATCTGGCAACGGCTGATTTTAGTTACTTGATGATTTATATCCATGAACTGTTGATGAAATTGCCTGTTGATTGCTATGAACCTATCATTGATTCAATCTATTTACAATCATTCCGAGAATTGACGTTAATGCTTATCATATTGGACTGAATTTGGGTGTAGTTTGGTGATCATACAACCAGGTGGTGCCGTGGCAGAGAAGTGGTGACAAGTAGCTTAGGGCACCCGGATTTCGATTTCAAACTAGTGCAAATGGATCAGAGTAACCATCCTTAAACTTTTTCATAAACATGCTTTTGCCTCATTATCTTAATCTCACAGTTCGATGACTATCTGCACCGTTATGTAGTGAAACCAAACCAATCCAAACCCACATAAAAATCCCGTAAGTGGGGTGCAGGGAGGGTAAGATGTACGCAGCTGTACATCTACCCAAAGGAGTAAAGACGTTGTTTTCATGAAGGCCCCAGCTTGCGAACTGCAATGCTATTTGGTGTTATCCTTTTTTGTATGTCTTAAGCTTTATTTGTTTTGGTCGGTTTGCATTTCTATTTTGTGAATCTCATATATATTTGAACAAAAGAAGATGCGAATATGATCATGTTTATGGAGAAATACAGATGAGATCCACGAAATGTTTGTAAAGCAAGTTTCATGCCATAGTTTTAGAGAAGTTGAAGAAGGTCATCAATTTGTAAATTGTTTTGGTTTTCTTGTTTCATAAAGCAAGTTTCATGCCATAGTTTTAGGGCGTGCTTAAGCACTTGCCACAGAAGTATGTTTCTATTACTTTATAATGATTGTGTTAGAAACCAAATGAACCTGATAAGTCTCACTCAGAGGTAGGGTATGAGGGTAGGATGTATGCTGATCTTACATCTACCCCAAGAGGTAGAGAGACTAGGCCTGGCCAAAATCTTTCTTCTTGTGAAGGGCAATGTGGGATTCCCTTAAGATGTTACAAACACCCCCCTTGAGAACTCATTATGATCTATAAGGTTTGCCCTACCATCCCGATGATACAAGCACTGGCTCCGATACCATTTGTAATGCCCCAAGCGCAATAGCGGGCTGGCCCAATAACTTTGAATTCAACTTAAAATCATAATGGAAGTTATTGATAGCACACAACTTGAGGTTTATAAGAAGCGCACAAATTTCATTTTCTATCAATGTGAGATGGGTTGTTACATTTTGTAATGGAACATGTAAATCTGATTACACATTGATGATACAATGGGACTTTCTGGTTTCACAGATGCTGCTATGGAAGAGGGAAAGGTTATGAAATATGGCCTTGAGTTCGTGAGATCAGTGTCGGATAAGCACCTGGATCTTTTGAGGCCCTCGGCCCGCTGTTTCTCCTTGTTTAAGGGTAAAAAGCGACCTTCTTGGTCTTCCTACTCATCCCTTTGCATTAATGGAGACTGAAAGATTTGGAATCATCAGTTTTTTTTTGTGGGTCCTTATGGACCCACAAGATAAGAAAGTTAAATGATCAAAACGAGCAAATGTTGGTGCAGGGAATACAACAAATAATGACAACAACGAGAAAGACAGGTATTCCCTTATTAGGGATGCCGATGACTTCCAACGAGGGATTTACGACAAACCTCTTCCTTGCTTTGGCTGTGGAGTCGGATGGTTTTCGTAAGTATCGTTTCTTTTTTGTATTTTGAACAAGTGAATCCCCTTGACCACCGCCCACCTCATGGTTAGTTCTTGTCTCTTTTTAGGTTCCTACTAGGACTTGCATTCCCATTGATGTGGTACTATGCTACATTTCTCTATTTCGGAAACTACTACCAAAGAGATCCTAGGGAACGAGCAGGTCTCGCTGCTTCTGCAATCGCTGTAAGTCCTCACTCTGAAAATTCGAGCATTTAACAAGCTACTCGAGCTCGATTCAATCTCAGACACAAAATAAAGTTTGTTTAATCTGGGGTGAGTGTTGCATATTTGGTATACTGAATACAATGTGATTTTGATTGCAGGCAATGGGGTTTTCTGTTGTGTTGTTGATCATAGCAGCAATCCTACTTTTTTAGGTAGGCTGCACATTTTGATCCTGTATAGATCCTAATCTTCTTGAACAAAACCCTAAAATTGTAGCTTTTCAAGTTATAATGCTTATATCTATATCTGTATGTACACCTTTTGTTAGATGTGGTTAGAAAAGCTTATCAAAAACCATTTGGGTTGTAGCGCACAGGTTAAGACTTAGGGGATGTAGTGGAAATTTCATCTTCTTGGGTTCAAAACCAGACGCTGTCAAAGCCTTTTGAAGGTTCATCTACGATGATTCTGGGTCATTCATGGTTGCGTGAGGGAGTAATCAGCCTGTAACAAAATTATCAAATGGCTTTTTTATCTGTATAAACCACAAGCGGCTGATACTTGTTTTTCCAAGATGTGTGATTTGAGGGTTAAAAACACACGCTACACGCGTCTTTTTATGAAACTTGATAACAAACCGATCATGTAAATTACTGATGTATTCTTCGATTTCCTTTTTATTGTTTTATTTATGTTGTTTTTCCACAATAAATCTCGAAGGATTCTACATGTTTCTGATTCTGAAAATTTCTTTTATATTGGAAATTTGATGACAAGCCATTTGATTTAAGATTTAGAAAAATAAAAAAAATAACCAAAGAGCCTCTGGCTTAACGGTATCGTAGTTTTTGGTTTTTTAAAAGGTCAAAGATTCAAACCTTATCAAAATTGGGGAGGGTATGCGAGTTTATTTGTTCTATTTGTCGTATGTAAATATTATATACTTAAAAAAATATAAAAAATAATAATGTTTTAATTATATGCAAAAACGATATACATTTGGTGGAAGAAGCGCAATCACAAAGTTTGGTCACCTCTAAAAATTCTAGAATATGTGTTATGTTTCTCTATCCGCCCCAAATCACACGTGCATGTAATATTAATTTTTTTTAATTAGAAGCGTTCGGCTCATGGATTTTGAAAAAATTAGAATGAATATTTTTTTGATCAAATTCTAATTTCTTTGGTTCATATAATAAAAAAAGAAAAGTTTAAAAAAATCCAATGGACTTTAGTGTTTAAAATGATTAAGTTCTTGAACAATTTTTTGGAACAAATAAGCCTTTGGACATTTCAAAACCTATTAAATAACTATTTGAACTTTCAACCTTGTTATATACATTCTTATGACCTACAAAACTTGTTAATGTGGTAAAATAATGAAAAAAGTCTGAAAAAAAGCCAATAAACTTTCATATTTTGAACTATTAAGTCCCTAAACTTTTTTTAAACAAAAAAAGTACTTACATTTTATAAAAAAGTATTTATATTAAAAATTATCAATAAATTTTATTTTAATTAAAAATAAAAAATATTTTATTAGTGATTTTTCAAAAAATAAAATAAAAAATAT